TTCAATTAGTACAATCTCGGACAATTATATTGTAACCGAACTCGAACTAGTCCAATTGAACTCGAACTAGTCCAATTGAACTCGAATTAGTCCAATTGAACTCGAATTAGTCCAATTGAACTCAAATTAGTACAATTGAACTCAGATTAGTCCAATTGAACTCAAATTACTCCAATTGAACTCAAATTAGTCCAATTGAACTCGAATTAGTCCAATTGAACTCAAATTAGTAAAATTGAAGTCAAATTTGTACAATTAAAGTCAAACTAGTACAATTGAACTCAAATTAGTCCAATTAAAGTCAAATTAGTAAAATCTCGGTCAATTATATTGTAACCGAACTCGAATTAGTCCAATTGAGGTTCAGTTGAACTCAAATTAGTCCAATTGAACTAAAATTAGTACAATTGAACTCAAATTAGTCCAATTGAACTCAAATTAGTACAATTGAACTCAGATTAGTCCAATTGAACTCAAATTAGTCCAATTGAACTCAAATTAGTCCAATTGAACTCGAAATAGTCCAGTTGAACTCAAATTAGTAAAATTGAAGTCAAATTTGTACAATTGAAGTCAAACTGGTACAATTGAACTCAAATTAGTTCAAATGAAGTCAGATTAGTACAATCTCGGCCAATTATATTGTAACCGAACTCGAATTAGTCTAATTGAGGTCCAATTAGTACAATCTCGGACAATTATATTGTAATTGAACTCGAATTAGTCCAATTGAACTCAAATTAGTCCAATTGAACTCAAATTAGTACAATTGAACTCAAATTAGTCCAATTGAACTCAAATTAGTACAATTGAACTCAGATTAGTACAATTGAACTCAGATTAGTCCAATTAAACTCAAATTAGTCCAATTGAACTCAAATTAGTCCAATTGAACTCGAATTAGTCCAATTGAACTCAAATTAGTAAAATTGAAGTCAAATTTGTACAATTAAAGTCAAACTAGTACAATTGAACTCAAATTAGTCCAATTAAAGTCAAATTAGTACAATCTCGGTCAATTATATTGTAACCGAACTCGAATTAGTCCAATTGAGGTTCAGTTGAACTCAAATTAGTCCAATTGAACTCAAATTAGTACAATTGAACTCAAATTAGTCCAATTGAACTCAAATTAGTACAATTGAACTCAGATTAGTCCAATTGAACTCAAATTAGTCCAATTGAACTCAAATTAGTCCAATTGAACTCGAATTAGTCCAATTTAACTCAAATTAGTAAAATTGAAGTCAAATTTGTGTAATTGAAGTCAAACTAGTACAATTGAACTCAAATTAGTCCAATTGAAGTCAAATTAGTACAATCTCGGTCAGTTATATTGTAACCGAACTCGAATTAGTCCAATTGAGGTTCAATTAGTACAATCTCAGACAATTATATTGTAATCAAACTCGAATTAGTCCAATTGATGTCAAATTAGTAGAACTGAACTTGAATTAGTCCAATTGAACTCGAATTAGTCCAATTGAACTCAAATTAGTACAATTGAAGTCAAACTTGTACAATTGAAGTCTAACTAGTACAATTGAACGCAAATTAGTCCAAATGAAGTCAAATTAGTACAATTTCGATCAATTATAGGGTAATCGAACTCGATTTAGTCTAATTGAACTCAAATTAGTACAATTAATGTCAAATTAGTACAATTAAACTCGAATTAGTCCAATTAAATTCAAATTAGTATAATGTCGGTCAATTATAGTGTAATCGAACTCAAATTAGTCCAATTGAATTCAAATTAGTACAATTGATGTCAAATTAGTCTAATTGAACTCAAATTAGTCCAATTGAACTCGAAT